TGGCCTTCCCTGTGTCCCCCAGCACCGCCACCGCTGCACAGTGTCCCCCCATACCCCCCTGCCCTACCTTGAACTTCATGGAGCTCAGTTTGTAGAGGATGTCGCCCAGGTTCTCGCGGATGGTGGCCCAGGTGACGCGGTGCTCGGCCTGCGCCGTGCTCTCCACCGCGTGTCGCGCCAGCTCGTAGAAGGTCACCATGTTGTGGAGCATCCCCACCGTCTTGTAGAAGGGGCAAAACCTGGGGGGTGACGGGGGGCACGAGCTGGACTCAGCTGCGGCATGTGAGGACCTGGGGCCGGTGCCAGGGGCCGGCGGTGGCCGTGGGTACCTGTCGTAGGGTGAGTAGCCGTTCTGCTGCAGGAAGTCGTCCTTGAGGAGCTTGGCCACCTCCAGGGTGATCTTGTCGGCCTCGGCCAGGGAGGCCTGGGGGAGACACGGGGAAATGGGCTCATCCCATAGCCCGCTCCCGTCCCCTCTCCCACCCCGTATCCCCCAAGCACACCACATATCCATCAGCCCCATCCCATATCCCTCTTCTGCATCCCATAACTCCCACTCTCAGCACCTCTCCCACCCCATATGCCCTACTCCATCCCATCTCCCTCATTTCCATCCCATTTCCATCACATCTTCCTCATCTCCATCCCATCTCCTTCATCTCTATCCCATCTCTATCGCCTTTCCCATCCCCCAATGCCTTTCCCATCCCCTATCTTCCTTCTATCCTGTATCCTTCATCCCCATCCCCTACCCACCACCCCATCCCTTCTTCCATCCTCTATCTCCCGTCCTTATCCCATATCCTTCATCTCCACCCCATCCGCCACCCTCTTGCCCTCCTGTACCCCCATCCCCATCCAATCCCTTATCCCCACCCCACATCCCTTCTCGCCATCCCTTTTCCTGGGCCCTATCCCAGCACCTTGCCCACAAGCTGGACGATCTCAGCCAGATCCTCCTCCTCCTGCAGGATCTCCTTGGCCTTGGTGCGCAGGGCTGGGAATTCGGGATGCTGCCGCTCGTAGTGCGGCTCCAGCGCCCGCAGGTACTTGCTGTAGCTGATGAGCCAGTTGACGGAGGGGAAATGCTTGCGCTGCGCGAGCTTCTTATCCAGCCCCCAGAACACCTGGAAAAGAGCCGGCCTGAGCGCCGGAGCCGGCATGTGGACACGAAGCACATGGGATCGGGCCACCGCTCACCTGCACGATGCCCAGTGTGGCCGAAGTGACAGGGTCCGAGAAGTCCCCTCCTGGTGGGGACACGCTGCGGGCAAGAGGGATGAGCTATTTGGCAGGGACCACGTCCTGCATCCTGCATCCCATGTCCTGCATCCCACATCCCGTGTCCTGCATCCCACATCCCACACCCAAGATCCCGTGTCCCACATCCCACATCTCATGTCCTACATCCCAGATCCCACACCCCAGATCCTGTGTCCCACGTCCCATATCCCACATCTCATGTCCTGCACTCCACATCCCACATCCCATACCCCAGGTCCTGTGTCCCGTGTCCCACATCCCACATCTCATGTCCTGCATCCCATATCTCATGCCCTGTATCCCACATCACTCATCCCACATCCCATGTCCCACATCTCGCATCCCACATTCTGCATCCCAAGTCCCATGTCCCACATCCCACATCTCACGTCCTACATCCCACACCCCACATCTCGTGTCCCGCATCTTGCATCCCACATTCCGCATCCCGTGTCCCGCATCCCACATCTCGTGTCCTACATCTCACATCCCGCATCGCACACCCCAGATCCCGTGTCCCACGTCCCACATCCCACATCTCATGTCCTGCATCCCACACCCCACATC